GGAAGTTGTGTGCACTGTCTGTCACTAAAATGTATTAAACTTACAAAAGGTGCAACCATCTGATTGGTAATGAAGCATAGAAACCAGCTTTAAAAGTAACTTAAATTTCCGTGGAGCTGAAGTTTAATGACCTTTGATTTTTAGAGGTGAAATGTGGTTTGAGATAAGTGTTAATTGCTTTCTTTCCAATTTGAGAATTGTAGAGCTGCAAGACAGCACCAGATTATTAGATATTTCATCTGCCATCTGAAGGAAAGGGGAGGGGACGCAAAGGAGGTATTTACTCAGGTTTTACTGTTAGCATTTGTATAAAAGAAGCCCATACTTCCTTTGTTTCTGGGGAAGAAATGTAAGGGTCCAAGCAGTTAGGAGAAACAGAGGGTTTTTTAAACAGTTGCAAGTGTGACATCAATGAATTTAACTATGTTTTCCTTACATAATAGCCTGTAAGATCAGTCTAAACATACATGAGGGAATAGAAAAAAAAATGGACAGAAAGGAAGGAATAATAGTTCTCAAGATCTGGAAAGATTTCTGGGCTCCTCTGAAGGCTGGGGCAACCGATTACAGGCAGTCCCCGGGTTACGTACAAGATAGGGACTGTAGGTTTGTTCTTAAGTTGAATCTGTATGTAAGTCGGAACTGGCGTCCAGATTCAGCCGCTGCTGAAACTGACCGCCAGTTCTAAGCTATGGCAAGCCGTTGAACTTTACTCGATCGAAAAATATGTAAAAAACCTGGCTGGGTGATAACCCCAGGAGAGTTGGCAGTTTGATTTGATTAACTAACAATGTGTTGGTAGCAACTGCAATAGGTGGTGGGTTTGGAAAATGATCCAAGATGGAGAGCACTTGGGCATACTTGTTACCCTGAGTAGCTCGACAAGGGGCCAGAAAGCGTTTTCAGATTTGGTCACAAAGGTTGTAAAATGAACAAAAAATTACTTTGTTCCACAAATCATGACTGCCTGGAATGGATCCTGTCAGAGTGTAAATACTGCCTGGTACTTTCCTGCAGGACTAAATTTGTGTATGTTTATAGTGTTAATTTCAGCAAAACCTCTTCAAGTTTTGTTTGAGTTACGAAGGAAATGGCAGAGTGAAAATTCTTTCTAGTGTTGATATGCATGTTAAAGATTGCATAATAAAGCATACATGTCTGTTGTAGCATCCTTCAGTCTGAAACAGATGTGTTCCTCTGCCATACCCATTAATTTGCTTCACAGAGGCAGGGGGTGGGGATAACTAATGATGATTTTAAAAGTTCATTCACCATGTGTTGGGATCCATATTGGCAAACTAGAACCTGCTTATCTGCAGTACAGGCAGTCCCCGACTTACGCGGATCCGACTTACGTCAGATCCGCACTTACGAACGGGGCTTTCTCGCCCCGGAGCTCGCAGGTAGCAATCCGCTACCTTGACCTCCGGGGCGAGAAAGCCCCGTTCGTAAGTGCGGATCTGACGTAAGTCGGATCCGCGTAAGTCGGGGACTGCCTGTACTGCAGATAAGCAGGTTCTAGTTTGCCAATATGGATCCCAACACATGGTGAATGAACTTTTAAAATCATCATTAGTTATCCCCACCCCCTGCCTCTGTGAAGCAAATTAATGGGTATGGCAGAGGAACACATCTGTTTCAGACTGAAGGATGCTACAACAGACATGTATGCTTTATTATGCAATCTTTAACATGCATATCAACACTAGAAAGAATTTTCACTCTGCCATTTCCTTCGTAACTCAAACAAAACTTGAAGAGGTTTTGCTGAAATTAACACTATAAACATACACAAATTTAGTCCTGCAGGAAAGTACCAGGCAGTATTTACACTCTGACAGGATCCATTCCAGGCAGTCATGATTTGTGGAACAAAGTAATTTTTTGTTCATTTTACAACCTTTGTGACCAAATCTGAAAACGCTTTCTGGCCCCTTGTCGAGCTACTCAGGGTAACAAGTATGCCCAAGTGCTCTCCATCTTGGATCATTTTCCAAACCCACCACCTATTGCAGTTGCTACCAACACATTGTTAGTTAATCAAATCAAACTGCCAACTCTCCTGGGGTTATCACCCAGCCAGGTTTTTTACATATTTTTCGATCGAGTAAAGTTCAACGGCTTGCCATAGCTTTTCTAGGGTCCAAATACCTGCCATGTGCCTGTGTGTGTTTGAAATAAGAAGTGGATACACAATTATTAGGTTTTCATGAAGGTATGTGTTTTGTATATTTAAACGGAAACTCTTTAGCTTCACATGTTATAGACTGCTTAGCCCTACTGTTACGTAATTTAGTTTCCTTCAGCTACTGAATTAAGAGCGTTAGAGGCACTGACTGGTTTTGGTGAGCTGGTCACAAATCTAGCAGGTTATCTATGTTCTGCTAAGAGGATGAGCAATGAGATTTATTTGTTAGATTTAGTCCAGTGGGGTAACGTAGCAGCCCATATAATAGATCTGTGAGTACTGTGCATAACCAAAAAGCACCAGAACCATTTTTTCCTCATCTTTTTCTTTTTTATTCCGTCTCCCTTTATGGTCTCCTCTTTTTGTCTCACTTCCATTGAGGTCTTGTCACTCTTGCAATTATTCCTATTCTCTCTCCATTTTTTGCCTCCCTTCTGTTGTTCTTCCCCTTTTCTGCTGTCTTAATTGTTCTCTTCTCTTGTAAATTCATGCAAGCCACTGAAAGGGAATGTCAGAGCCATACCCTTTCATTGGAGCATTTTACCCAGAGAGCTACTGCAAGGGAAGCAGATTCATTTTGCTGGTGAATTGAACTCCCAGCAGGAAAGTGAGAAAAAGCACCTCTGAATTTTATGGTGGGTAGATTCAGAGTAGTTGTGCACAAAAGCAGACACCAGTGCTCCCTGTCCAGTTTTCTAAAGCAGAAAGGGGGTAAAAAAGGAATCTTTCATCAACATGCATCCCAGTGTTTAGGTTGCTGCTCTATTCCAACCCCATTTAAGCACGTGTAGCAATATTGGCTTATTACTTTTGAAAGCAACAATAATGATAAATTGTTACTGTATCTAGTGTACATATTTCACTTTAAACATGACTTCAATGTTATGCTTGTACGTCTATGGGAAAAGACTGATTTCTAAACAGGACGAGGGGTTGGATCCCAACTACTACCAATAACTGAGACTCTGGGATCACACCTGCATACCTCACTGGGATGAAGATATTCTTTATTCACTCATAGCTATCAATGTTTTGATGGGAAATCACTATCAAAGGTCAAAATTCATACTTAACTAGCCATCTTAGATAATTACCCTACAAGCTTTACAAAAGCTCAACTATTGCAATAGTTTTTAAGGACAGTAAACACTTTTAACTGCCCGCATCTACACCGGATTCCGATTTAAAGCCCTAACTCGAATTAGCTGGTATTCCTCCTGCAATGAGGTTTACCAGTTAATTCGAATTAGAGGCTTTAAATCGGAATCCGGTGTAGATGCGGGCAATTACTTTGGGCTAGTCAATTTCTAAAATGCAAATTAAGTGCGGGATATTTAAATCCCGGGCTCAATTTGCAATTCCCGTCACCCTCATTAGCCTCCCTAGATCAATCTGGGGACTAGTGTATACGTACCCCTACATCCCTCATCTCTAGGTAGATTTTGAAGGTAAAAGATGGATCTGGCTCATTAAGTTTTGTCTCCAGGACTGTGTTCTGGATTAGGGTTGACACAGAAGCTCCAAGAGTTACCCAGGAAGTTCTTCTCAATGAAATTTGGACAACATGAAAGAGAAAATAGGTGAAAATAGGTCTCCACAATGGTATCAGGACTGCTCTTGGCTGAACACTGCCCAATTCTTTTGCTTTAAAACTTGGACAAAGAGTCTATTTTTTAAATAGTGAATTGGTTCCCAAATTAATCTTCACTGTCGCCATATGTTTCACATTTCCACAGGAAGAAAAATTTATTACATTGCCTAAATGGATAGTTTGATTGCACAAAGAGGTATTAAAACACAATTATCAGAACCCCACATCAATGTAGCAACTTTTCATTCACCTGTAGTAACTTTACAATTTCACTAGCCAGATCATAAATCTTACTAACCAGCCTCCTATAAATCTAAATAGCCAAACTTTAAAAGAGGTTGACCATGTAACTTCTCTTCTGAGTCACTTTGTGGGGAAAGAGAGGGGTCGGGATGTTAATTTTCTAGGTTTCAGTAAACAGTTCTAAAGACACTTTATCTCCTGCTTAATACAGACATAGCATTGTAATCTTGGTAGTATCAGTACAACCTTGCTCTCTGCATATAAAAGAACTATCTATTCCTCTTTCTTGTATAAAAAAGGTTGGAGAGAGCATTCACAGTCATCATGTGATTCTATTCCATGGAGTAGACTGAGAAAAATATATCGCTGGCCAGCTTATCTGTTATTCTTCTGCTCTGTAAGTCAGCTCTAATGCCAATCTATAAATCTCATCTAACAACATCTTCAATGCTCGGGGGAAGAGGAAAGTATGACATTTGCCCCATTCTCCAAATAGTAGGAGCCATTGTCCCAGCCTTAACTATCTCTGAACCTTGGCTCAGTTAAAACAACATGTCATTAATTAACAGCTATTTGTGACAAACCGTTTTATGCCAACACGTTCATCTTAAGTTACACAAGAATCGACTGTTTCTCATGGACAGCTTAGTACACTGAAAGCAAAACGTTGCCACTTCTGCACTAATCTTGCAACACTATACAGTGGGATTTTAGTATTTTGACTCCAAAGTCATCATTTTGAATCTATATCAACAATGAAAGAGTGAAAGATAGCTTGTGGTTTCTTTCATGTATGTACACTGTATTTATTTTCTAGTACATAACTACTATAAAGTAATGAAAAAATATCCTCATGGAACTATGGAAATCTATATCTATCTTAAATGTCACCAAAATACTTAACCAAAATATCATAGCAAATGCACTATCCACATCATGAACCAAGGCACGTGCGCAATAAAAGTAAACTGTACTTACAATCTGGTTAACTTCAGCGTGTTCTGGAAAAGCAGCTCTGGTAAAACCTGTAATTTATTCTTGTTCAGACGCCTAAACAAATAAAGAGAATACAGTTAACACAAAAAAGGCATTACAATAATTTTCATTCTAAAGAGCCTGTTCCATCTTTCAAAACACATGTAACTGCTCCTAAAAGACGTGAAAAGTCCTAGTATTACGCTATTGTAGAATGTAGGAGTCTTTGTATACATTATTAATGTACAGGGTAAGGACATCATGCCATCTGTAGACCACCTGGTCAACTACTTTGAAAAACAAGACAGAGACAGCAAATATTGTCAGAATGCTGTAGTTTGTATGAGTGTGTCTGCATTTTCAAGTTGAATTGGATGCTTATTATCATACAAATCACAAGGCTACCATTGAGTTGAGTTTTCAGTGCTTTGAAGAGACTTGCAGAAGGCTTTCATCTTTCTTTCTAAACATATAGGCAAAAATAAGTTAAATATCCCAACCATCCTGGAATTATTTTCAGACTACCTCTTGTACATGGATATATGATTTTTTTAAAGTTATATACTAAACATTAATGTTGAAAATCTAAGCAATATTGTGAAAACTATAAAAACACATTTTAATGGGACTATACTTGCAAAGGGCTCTGCAATTGGAAATTTAACTTATTTTACTAAAAGAAACTCCTAAAATAACTTCTTGAGAACTTGTTTTAATATTTACTTTCTAGTTAATTTTAATATATTCATTTGACCAACTTTTGCAAATACAGTAAAATTCCAATAGTCCGGCATCCAATTGTACGGCACTCCTGATAGTCCGTCATCAAAATGGCAAGAGCCTAGTGAGTGAGCTTCAGCAAAAAAACAAGTCACAAGGCAGCAATGGCAGCAGTTGAACCGAGCAAAAAAGGTAAAAAAGGGTTAAAAAACTAAAACATTACAGTATACTGTATACAGTATGTACAATAAAGAGGGTTAAAAACACCTTATATACAGTATATACTGTATACAGTATATATAAAAAACCATCTTATAGTTCCTCCTGATAGTCCAGCATATCCGATAATCCGGCACCACCTATATCCCAAAGGAAGTCTACTGTACACTGTGCCAACTGGGAAAAGTTTATTTGCCCATCCTGAACTCCATCAAATACAAAAATATCTATCATCCCAAAGTAAAAATGATCTTTATGACTGTTATTGCAAAACTGAAATCAACTTCATGTAGACAAAGCAGCCCACTTTACAAGCACAATTTAAATGATGCAGCATACCACAAAATCGACATCTGTTCATCCACAAGGTCAGTAAATGTTACTTAAATGTAACAACTGACCTGAACTCATAGAAAAGACATTCAGAGTTAAAACCAAATATCTGGCTCCAGTCTCCCACAGAATAGTTCTGTTTTGTATCTCTCTATGGCTTTAAGAAAACAACACACGACATTTGGCTAATCTGTCCTGAATGTTTATAACAGTAGTAATGGGTCTGATTCCACGATATGAGGGGGGTTACTAGGGTTCTGCTTTCCAAAGCCACATGAGTTCTTTGAGAGAGATACTGATGCTTAACCTCCAATTCCTGGTTTCTAATTCTCTTGGATGCCGAGTGCTTCTTTTCATTTTCCATTCCTTTCAGAATTTATTCACATTACAGGCCTGCACCATTTTGGCCTTAAAGGTCTTCCTCAATGATCATCTAAAGTGGTCACTGGAACAGAAAGGCTGGTGTTTTTAATCAGGCTACCATATGAATAAATCCAGAAACAATGGGAAAAAAAGAAATCATATATGTATTTCTCTTTGTGACATCAACACGAGGCTGGCTTTGGAAGATTTGCATCCAGTAGGGTATACCTAATACAAGCAATACATTTGGTTCACCTTCCAGTACATTTCAGTAAAAAACACACAAGCTAGTTTTTTTAGGGAAGTAACTGTCTAGGAGGGTGTGTCTACACTGCACCGTAACTCTGAGCTATGCACATTGTATATCTTAATTAGATGCTATTTCTAAATAGTTTATTTCATCATTTGGCATTATCTACACAGTGCCGAATTTCGAAATAAAGTGCTATTCAAAAACGTCTCTTACTCCTCATAGAATGAGGTTCACGGGGACATTGGAATAGCAAGCCCAAAATAACGGGCTTGAGTAAAAACACAGGGTTGCTATTTCAGGATACTCCAGTATCCCGAAATAGCGCTGCAGTGTAGACATACCGGAAGGAGTACAGCAGAAAGGGGTCTAGGTGACACAGTGGATCTCAAGCTAAATATGAATCAACATTGTGACACTGTTGCAAAAAAAGCAAACATCATTCTAGGATGCATTAACAGGAGTGTTGTGAGCAAAACATGAGAAGTAATTCTTTCACCCTACTCTGCCACCCTACTGGGAACCACATTTCAGTAAAGATGTGGAGAAACTGGAGAAAGTTCAAAAGAGAGCAAGAAAAAGATTAAAATGTTTAAAAACATGACCTATGAGAAAATATTGAAAGAATTGAGTTTGATTATTCTGGAAAAGAGAAGACTGAGAGGGGACATTATATCCTTCCAAGTACGTAAAAGGGTGTTACAAGTGGAAGGGTGGAAAATTATTCTCCTTATCCTCTGATGGTAAAAGAAGAAGTAATAGGTTTAAATTGCAGCAAGGGAGGTTCAGTTTGAATATTAGGGAAAACTTCCTATCCACCAGGGTGGTGAAACACTGGAATAAATTGCCTAGGGAGGTTGTGGAATCTCCATAATTAGAGATTTTTAAGAAGAGGTTAGACAAATATCTGTTAGGTGTAATCTAGACGGTGCTCATTCCTGCCATGAGTGCAAGAGATTGGACTTGATAACCTCTCCCTGATAACTTTTGGCTCACTCCCATCTATTTTTACCAAATGTGAGAAAAAAATGTGCTTGTAAAATATGCATGAGCTTGAGTAAGACTTTATTCGGGATTTTTAATACAGTAAAACTCCAATGGTCCAGCATCCAATTGTATAGCACTTCAATAGTCTGGCATCAAAATGGAAAGAGCCTAGTGGTGAGCTTCAGCAAAAAACAAGTCACAAGGCAGCAGTGGCAGCAGCTGAACTGAGCGAAAAAGGTAAAAAAGGGTTAAAAAAACAAAAACAATACAGTATACTTTATACCAGGGGTTCTCAAACTTGTGATACCGCGACCCCCCTCTCCATTGCTGCAACCAGCCTCTAAGTTGCTTGCAACCGCCCTCTAATTTGTTTGTGATCCCTCTCTAAATTGCGCATGACCCCCTGGGAGGTCAGGACCCACAGTTTGAGAAACACTGCTTTATACAGTATGTACAATAAAAAGGGTTAAAAACACTTTATATGCAGTATATATTGTGTACAGTATATATATAACCAGTTTATAGTACCTCCTGATAGTTCGGCACATCTGATAATCCAGCACTACCTAGGTCCCACATGTTCTGGATTATCAGAAGTCTACTGTAATAGCAGCAGTCACATCGATACAGCAGTTATGGAATAACAATTGCAGCTATTCTCTAGGATACATTTAATCCGTGTTATAATTCCAGAAGCTGCTACACAGCAAGCACAAAACTCTCCTGCCATGAGTATGGCAAAATCCCGCATTGCCCCTTTACCTACTGAACAGGAACAGCTGTATTTTTAAGGGGCAGGGAACAGTCTTTTCAGTCCTCTCCTGATACCGGCGTTTCTGACTTGATGCAAAAAAGTTATCACACACTGTGATTAAAAACTGATTCAATGGGGGCACCAGGTCTTTCAGTCAAGAAGGCTGTGTCCAGACTCAGGGGTTTTTTCAGAAAAAGTAGCCTTTTTCTGAAAAAACTTCACCTGCGTCTAGACTGCAGCCGCGTTCTTTCGAAATTAAATCGAAAGAACGCGGCTTTTCTTTTGACGGTGGTAAATCTCATTTTACGAGGAAGAACGCCTTTTTTCGAAAGTGCTCTTTCGAAAAAAGGCGTTCTTGAATGCAAACAGGGGTTTTTCAAAAGAGAGCATCCAGACTACCTTTCGAAAAGGTGCCTTGCTTTTTCGAAAGTTCTGCTTGCAGTCTAGACGCTCTTTTTCAAAAGTATCTTTCGAAAAAGCCTCTTTCGAAAGACGCTTGCAGTCTAGACATAGCCGAAGTGATTCACTGGCTAGAGCAGCCCTTCATGACTGGCTGTAATACAAGGTGCCCTGGCACCTTGTACTGACTTCTGCCTTGGCCCTGCAGTAGGCTGCTTCTTGTGACTCGACCCTCTGGGCAGGTCACATTCATCCTCCTCCCACCCCCTTTCAAAGGTAACAGAGAGTACCAGAACACAGTACAGGTAAGCCAATGTCTTCTAACCAAGTTTTAGCTTGACTGGGCTCACTGATCCTTAAACCCCTCCACTCAGGAAGTTTCCATCTCACTCTCATCAGTGTCTCTTAGGGGAAATCAGGGCCTTCATCTACTCTGGGTTCCAATGCAAGGACCGGTGGAAAGTAGCTAAGATCTCCCTTAGATCACTGCTGCTTTCCTCAATTGCCTCCTTCCCTCCGTTTGTTTCTAGGCTCTTTAACCCAGCTCCTTCCTCCACAGACCCTTTGCTTTGTCCTGGGCTCCACAGAGTCTTTCTTGATTCAAGAGGCATCTCCCTGGAGGCCTCGGCTTCTCTCTGCCTCTCCTAGGGGTGTTGAATAGAGGTTAATTAGCTAATCGATTAGTCCATAAGCAGGTGCACTCGCTACCCCCACTGTAGCTCTGCATTTTAAATATAGTAGGAACCGGGCACGCAGGCAGCACAGCTATTACTACTTTTAAAATACAGAGCTGCAATGGATGTAGCTCCCAGGGCCAGCTCCAGTAGTCACATCCCTAGCCTCTCCCGTGCCTATCTGTGTGTTTTCCTCTGAAGACCCTGCCTCTGGGCTGCCTCCCTTTTGTTCAGGCTCACCAGAAAAGCTTGGTCTCTCTGGCTTCCCAGTCTCTCTGTGCTGGCTCCTTTCCAGAGCGTCTTTCTGAGGAGATCACAGGGCTGTCTCTTCCTGGGGCTCCAGCCTCCTTTCTACTGCCATGAAGACCTTCCTTCC